GCCCCGAGCTCCCGATTCCCTGGGCTCCCAGCGCCATGGGCTCCCCCATTCCCTGATCACCCGGTGCCCTGAGCTCCTGATTCCCCGATTCCTGCTGCTCTGATCTCCCTGTGTCCCGGGCCCCCCGATTCTCTGATCTCCCGGTGCCCGGCAGTTCCCGGATCCCTGAGCTCCCGGTGCCCCGAGCTCCCCAATTCCCTGCATTCCCGAGTCCCGATTCTCTGGATTCCCGGTTCCCTGGATTCCCGGTTCCCTGGATTCCCGAGTCCCTGCTCTCCCGCTGCAGAGACTTCGCTGATCCTTGGCTCTGGAGAAGGCAGGACGAGGCAGAGCCAAGCTCAGCTCATCCCAACACAGCCGAATGCCCCGCTCCGCTCTGAGCCTCACCCCTCTCTGTGACACAACTCATTTTTTAATTCTTTTTTTTTAGTTTTTTTTAAGTTTTTGTCTGGCTAAAGGTTAAAATGTTTCTTTGCTGATTAATAAGTCGCTGCTGTGGTTGATCTCAGATGCTTCCTGTCCGCTTTAACGGGCTGCATTAGAAACATGTGTTGGGTGCTGTGCACATGTAGGGCAGAGCACTGTGAAACCAGCACCCATAAACAAAGTCTGAATTTCTTTTTCGACTGCCTTCCTGAACCCTTTCATGAGTAATAACTCGCACTTGTGTGCTGTGACATTAGTGATAAGAATAGTCGTGTCTGTAGTGAGCTGCTTTATTGCATTTTACCTCAGTTGAAATCTGTTATTGGCACGGCCACTGGATTCCTTGGGAATGAGTCACTTGCTATTAACTATTAAATTTTAACTGTATTAAGAGGCTGAATCTTGAAGCCGTGAAGAAGGAGCATAACAAATAAACATATAACAACCGAAAACCGAAAGAATTTGTGGGACCTGATCCAACATCACTGGAATTAATGAACTTGGAGTTAATGAAGATCTGTCCTGAGCCTTCTTCCCGTGTTGAATGTGGGAGGGCAGAGCTGAGCTGCTGTAACAGTGATGTGGTGCTGAATTGTTGCTGTGGCTGCCAAGAGGATGGAGGCAAAGGCACCAGAACCCTTTTGCTTTCCTTCTGGGACTTTTCAAGTTTGCTGGCAAGTGTCAGATGTGTTGGTGGAGACAGAGGGATCCAGGGCTGGAAGGCAGAAAGATTCCCATGTTCCAAGAGGAGCAGCTGGCTGGGAGGAAATGAGACCTGAGTTAGGAAAGGGTCTGGAGATGCTGGGAAAGGGAGATGGGGAGGATGTGTGGAGGGACCAGGGGGAGGCCCAGGAGGGCCAGACTTGTGGGAATTGAGTCTGTAGGGCACTGGGCTTTGCTGGTCACAGGTTAGGGACATCAGGGCCCTGCAGGGCCTGCAGAGCACGGACCTTGTCTTGCCTAAAGA